CAGTCAAGCTGTGGCCAAAGAGATAAGAAAAGCTGCTTGCATATGACCTGTATGACTGCATCTTAACAGCTTCAGTTTGATTAGGAACTGTTTGAGCAGAGAGGCCTGACACAGCTCTACTCTCCTCTCCACCTCTGCATCAAAGCCACATTGCAGGAATTTATATATGGCAGGTGTAGGAACTGTCTCAACTCAGGAGCTTCCAAATTAGTAATGGAATTCAGTACCTCATCCAGAAATTGGAAAGTGTTTTATACTGGCAGATATCACCACTGCTATTTATGGACTTCAATGTCCCTTATTTGAAAAGATAACTCAAACATGCACCAAAATCTGCTTCTTTAGATAGCAGTTCAGATTCAGGAGAATGGTGTTAGAAAGCCCTGTAGGCCAAATACCTACAGTATTTGTGTGGGTTTGTACTTCTGATAAGGAAGCTATTAACAGAGTTCATAAATATTGCCTGCCTGGTTCACATCACAAGCTTTCAGAATACAGTCCTAGCTCCCAACGACATGCACAAATGATGCATTACCTCTGTCTCTTTGTAGCAGGCAAAATACATGCAAGTTTAAACATAAATGCCCTGAAAAAGTACTAGATAAAGTCAGAAAGAAAAACCGTCATTCAGCTTAAACATTACTAATGTTGTAATTTTACAAGGATACATTATCCTAATAGATAAAATATGATACTAACATGCAGCACGGAGTTGCAAAGAGTAAACCTTTAACCCTTGCCTATCCTCAACAATGTTCCTTCCCTCACCCCTTTATTTGACTGTTTTCAACTGCTTATCTATGAAGCCCAGCAAGTGCTCTGATATTTGGAACAAAACTTCCCCATTAGCTAGATGGGTATATCAGTCAATGTCTCAATGTTATCTCACACGACTTAGTTCCCTACCTTTCTCCATATGATCTCAGCTACAAACCTGCCTGGTATTTCAAGTTGCCATACTGGGGCACATTTGCATCCTAACTGTATTTAAAGTGAGGCTTAAATCCCTCTGGAAGTTGCAGTTACTTGACCAATGAAGCAAGGATAGGACATAAAGCAAAATAATTTGGAGTGATCTTCGCACTGTCAAATACAATTCTTTTGGAAATCACCCCTCCTGACTTCCTGTTAGTACGAAGAGCTTTTCTCTCCTCTATTAGAGAGTGACAGATAGCAGTTGCTTAGAAAGATTATTCAAAATTGCATGAATGGATGGGCAACCTGCCTCAAAAGCTAGAGAATTTTATCCTTTTTGTCATATTTTATTCCTTGTCTATATCCTTTTGTTAAACTTCTATTAAAAAAGCAAAAAAGGCGCAAATCTTGGTTTTCATTATACCTGCCCACGTAACTGTAGTGTCCCAGACCAGGGTATCTGAAATGCTGTATTTTTATGAGAACCTTAACACTACAGCCAAATAAAGTGCAAAGAGGAAAGTGAGACGAAAGGTATTCCTTTCTTCTCTTATCTCTCCCCAATGTATTTACTTTCCTGAATATTACACTTACTAATTCACCACATATTAATAAAAGTAAACAGCAACAACTAACAATGCCTTGCAGTTAAACATCTGAAACCAGGACAACCTTCAAGGCAATGAAGGCGTTGACAAATGTAAGGAAAATATCTTTTTTTTTTTTTTTTTTATATAAGGGGAAAAATGAAGCTCAGAGAAATTAAATTATTTACAGAATCAGTGGCAGAAGAACCAAAGCCTTCAGATTGCTGCACCATATAAAAAGTTAGGGGAAACAAAGAATACTGTCAGTAGACTAATAACATATGAGAAGTGAAACTATGCATTTCTGTCTGATTATTGTACCGTTGTTCATCTCTAAAGCAGAGCACTGCTTTAAGCAGTGCCTTTTCGGATTAAGATTGCAAATGGTTTTAAATCACTCAAGGGTAGAAAATTGTTCTATCTGTCATATTTCACACTAACAATTGTATGGCATTTCCTTGCTCTACTTAACTTGAATTTTATATGCTGCCACTATTAAACAACACTCTATGCAGAAATCCAAACACATTGCTAATGCAAACAAAGCTCTTGTGACTCCATCCAAGGCTGCACAAACATACATCCGAGCACCCAGTCTTCATCTTTTTATTGAAGTCCTTTTGTCTGTTAAAGGATGTTACATTTAGGCCAACATGATTTAAACTTTTTATGCTCTAACTGGAAGCTTAATCTAACTTAAGAGTCATGAAAATCTTATTGTAATTTCTGAAGTAGTTAAGTCAGATCCTAAGACTTTTCCAATAGACATCCCAATATGCAAAATTAAAAATGCATAATCTCCATTCTGCAAACATGATTCAAAAGGTTTTCCTATGGAAATGTAGAGGTATAACTATACGACTCTAATTAAATATTGATGAAAATCCATAGAGGAAGGTTCTCTTGCTGAGAGCACACGTGCACAAACATACCAGTCTGCATTGGTATAGTTACACCATTGTATTTCCCCGCATAAATAAAAACTATAAAAATGAAGAAAAAAACCCTCAAAAATTATACAGATGGACAAAAGCAGTGGTACTGCTTCAGCTACGCCCAATCAGATTTCCAAGTTTGCAGAGAGGTGCATGAGAAACCACTAAGAATAATTATTTGGCAGTCACCTGAAACAGTCCACCTATTAGTACAAGAATGAAAAACTGCATCCACACTGTGAAAAAGACAGAAGTTTATCTTCATGAATACAACCATACTGTACAGAGCTTTGAGTGCTTTGAATGGGAAGTTACTATCTCCATGAGTTACCGGTTATTACTGCAACACTGCAGACAATAATTTGAAAAAGCAACGTAACTTCTGAATGCAAAGAATTCACTTGTTAGTTTTGACAAAGCTACTCAGCAGCTGCAAAATTCTGTTGCAAACACAATGTTCCCAGCAGGATGATTTGACAAGCATCTATTGACAGTTTTCTACAACTGCTATGAAATGATCTCTTTAAAATAATTTCATCCAACTGCAAGGAAAAAGAGTTACCCTGGCTAACAACAGGATTCTGGACACAGGTTTCACTTGCTCACCACAGACACTGAAATACATTCCCCAGTCATCCTGAAACTGAGACATGTCAACCCTCTCCTTCAGGAGAGAGACAAATGCCCCACCTATTCCCCAAATAAAGATTTCAGAGATTACCGGTGCTTATACTGCAACTTTATACCCACTCACTGTCTTCCAGTCTAGACCAGCTGAAATCCAGCCAGGCAAAAATCAGCTGTGCACATATGAACTGCAGTTCGTTAAGAGAAGGAAGACAGGCAGGCAAACTGTGGAGGAGGGATGATGCTAATATAGCTGTACAGAGCCTGTTTCTAAATAGGCTAATAGTTTTGCTCCCTGCAGCTAGAACACATTTCAAAACAGACCTCAAGCGGAGGAGGAATTTTTAAGGTAAGTCCAGACTGCCATTCTTCCCTCCTGCCCCAAAGGATTTCACCATTTTGTTGTCATAATTTATTTTTTTAAAAAAACATTACTGCATTCAGTACAGGGAAACAGTTCAGAAAGTAGCAGTATTCTGTGAATCAAACAGACCTCTCAACTTTTTTAAAGGAACACAAACAGTTGTTATCAATATTAAGAAAAAAAACACATTTTCAATTAGCAACAAAACTGGTGAATACACCACATTGTTCTGAACAGAGAAAAGCATGCATGTACACGGAGATCCATTACTTAAGTTTAATTACATTCAGTGTGGTAGAAACAATTCTTCTGCCTCAGTCAACTTAACAAATCATGTCTTCTGTCTCTCACAGGGGAACCTGAATCACTAGGCTACTCATTTTTTTTTAAATATGGGTAACAGTGTCGGTTCCACTGCTGGTATCACACTACTGTACATAAATATACATTGCACTAAAGAGATTAGAGGCAAGAGCCCTACTCTTAATTTTCTATATAAGAATTTTATATAACGTGAGACCATTCCACTTAGCAGGATACCTGTGTCTGGAGACTCTGTGGGTCAGTGGTGAAGCTAACGTCAGGGTCTGAATCAAGGGCAGCAGATACGAAGTTGGCACTCCCAAGCACTGGTGTGTATGCTCTTCTCCTTCCACCAATAAAATCTTGACAGCATTTCCCACCAGCCCAAAAGGCCCAAAATCTATGCACCTTTGTGGACTATGGGAAATACACGTTGAATCTCTGCAGCAACAGGGAACTGAGTATAAGTCTCCCACATTCCTTGTACTTTTGTCACAAGCATGCTGCCAATATTCTGCCCTGCATATGGTCTCCTCCTCCTACATGCAATGGAGTATTTTATGTAGATTCTTTCTAAAAGAAACAGGTTTTTCCGTTTAGACAACAAGATCAAAACCTTTTAAACATTTCAGTATCTAACCACTTTTGATTTCTTAAGTTCAGCATCAAAACCCCAAGATTAGTTACTCACAGACCACCAGCGACAACAAATCGACATGTCATATCAGGAATGCTGACACTTCTTAGTTAGGTACTAACTTGATCTGATAGTCAGGACTATCTTGAAAAGCAAACAATCAGTTACAGGGTGGATTCTCAGTCACAGCCACACATTCAGCAAGCTAAGGAAGGGCATCCTACCAAAGGTCATACAGACTCTTGCACCAGCTTTTTCTTTTGCCCCGGAAAGGATGCAAACAAAGACTATATCTGCACATAAACTGAACAAGCAGAGGTATAAAGTTAGGCCAAAACTTCACCCCTAGTCTTGACCTCTTCAATGGGTCAAAGGCATATTACAGGAGCTTGGATCCAAGCTTTACATTTGAGGTGTTGACTTCAGATTTGTGGCTCTGATTCAGGTAATAGCTAGCGCAGATGAACTGGTTTGCAGACCTCTCAACCAACCAGGGTGAGAAGAAAATGGGATTACTTTCTATCCACACCCAGGAGAGGCTGGAGAATTCTGTTTTCAGCACAAATGAGAGCACTGCTTTGCCCTTGCTTCTCTTTATACTAAACTCCATACCAACTAAGAAAGCACAATAAGAAATGAAATAACTAAGGTTTTATTTCTCACTACCTCTATATCACAGATCCACTGCTACAGATTTGTACATATTCTACTTGTATAGGCCAAATTCTTCACTACCCAGCTTTTTCCACACCAAACCAGGGACAGGCTAGATGTGAGTTGGTGAAAAAATTAATACAAAAGGATGGACAGATGTGCAAGGTAGGAAGAAGGATGGTAGTCTGGTCACATTGGACGAGTAGCAAGATAGTTCTGGCTGGAGGCAGTATAACTGACTACCTATAGATGTGAGGGTGTGTATTCTTCTGTCCTTGTTTTTCCTCAAAATTACAAATCATTCCTAATTCACCCCACCTTAAATTCAATGTGCTCCCATGCAACATTTCTACTTGTCTTTTTCTTCTCATCAGACCTACAGTATGGGGGATATGCAAGGAGAAAGACACAGACACATTAAAGCCACAAAGCTCCATCTTCATAAATTATTCTCAAAATGAACTGAAGCACTTTTTCTATTAGTTAACAGCACAAAGCTGATAATCCCAAAGCTAGGAATAAACAGGATACTTCTGCAGAATAAATTCAGGGAAAGGGTAGTAAACAGATGGGAAAATGTACCAGAATAGATATAACTAGAAAAAATATTTGGTCCAAAGAAGGAGGTAAGAGAATGAGATCAAAAGAGAAGATTTTATTTTTCAGTATCAGTAAGTCATGGATGAGAGATTGGCCAGTTGGCCAGTGTTGTCTCTAAGCAAGTTTCCAATCTTATCACCACACCACAATTTATTCTATTCCTAAGTTTTCAAAGATTCCTACATATTGTTACACGTTATTATTTTGACATTTTCAATTTCTGTTGCACTAATATAGGCTTGGAAGAAGCATTACCCTCCTTTCCCTCACACACTCCTTACATTGAGTTCTCTTCCATTTCTTCACAAGTTTCACTTTGCTGCTACTATTTCTTTTCCCCTCTCTCACATTCTCCATTCCAGCAGTGATTTATGCACATTCACCAAAATTCAGGAAACACATAAGGGCATCTGGGTTCCGTCGCTAAAAAAATCTATTCAAGCATGTCACACATTACACCATACCCACACAGAAGACTCATTAGACAGGCTGTCCAAAAACGTCCACCACCTGAATTCAACCACCCCTTCTGGATTCAGGCAGCCTTCTCTTCTCAAATAATTGTCTCCCAAACAAGAACTCTGTGTTCTCAATCTTCCCTCTTGTTAGTCCCTTAATCATACATATATTTTCTTCCTCTCCTTTGCTCCTTCCATCACATCTTTCTCTCTGAACTCTTCCCTCTGCAGTCCCATTTCCCCCCCCCTTCCACACCTTTTTTAATCCCAATTACCCACTCAACAGTGGGGTCCTACCAATGCCGTCTCGGAAAGGAGCCCACTGTAGGGCAGCAGGCAGAAATGCTGCCAGATCTGTGCTTCCTCCCTCCCAGTGGCATGGCAGGAGCCCAACTGGACCAGCAAGAGGCAGGACAAGGGAACAGGGCCTCTTCTAATGCAGGCAGCATCAGGCAGGGATGACCAGATTCAAGATCTCCCCAAGTTTTCTTTCTTTCTTTCTCAAAAAGAAGCCAGGCAGAACTTGGAGGAAATAACTCCAAGGCCAAGACACACACACATACACGAAACGGCCATCAGCCACACAGCTGCGTTTGTAGAGGTAAGGCAAGGTGAAGCAACACAGCACCAATGCAGCTGTGATTGCAGAAACAGGGCAAGGGGAAGGGGTACAGCAGCCTGTAAAAATGATCAAGAGTTGAGAACAAAGTAACAGCAGCCCAAAAAGCATCCTCATCTCTTCACCTATGTTCTTATGAAACTCCTTAGTTTAATTACAGGAGCATGGCTAAGGATACATTTCAGCATAGCTCCAAACAGGCCTGCCACTTAAATGATCAGCAAATCAATTTTCTAAAGGATCTGCTAATAGTGTTTATGTAACACTGAGGGAAGAACAACTCTGAAGCTCTCACAATCAAATTAATCTCAGTGGAGCCTTCATTATGCTTGCTAATGAATGCCCATTCTGTGAACGTACAAGGCAGTTTGTACTTAGATGGTGATACAGCGTGAACTGTTTGGCCAGTACTCATGCAATCAAATAATAATGCAACAGAAGATGGACTAAACAATCAAACACTTGAAACAGTGACTCGCAGCATGAAGATGGTTGGCATTTAAATGCATACAAAAATCAAATGCCATTCTATTAAAAAAATGGCACTTGTATCAACAATGCCTGGCACTTGCACAGCATCTGTTATCAGAAAATTGCAAGGACTACAACTTACTAATTCTCACCATTTTACTGTAGATCTCCTTAATTTTTTGAACTTTGGTTCCTCCAGTGATGTGCTTAGCTTAGACTTCCAGCTGTATATAAAAAAGGAAAAAATCTATCTCTGATAGCTAGACTATGATGTGACCTGCAAGAGTGTAGAAATACAAAAGGACCCAAAACCAA